TGAATCTTATTCGTTCGACATCACATTTTATAATTAGGTACTAGCTTGTGTTATTAGTGAATATGCTGTCAAATGGGGCCCCATATCTTGGAGGTGCCTAAGGCCTACGAAAGTCTTAACCCGGCCCGGCTTGTACCCCACAGTAGTTTACCTTGCGATTGTCATTTGTAGTAAATTATGAAGCCGGGAGGGAAGAGAAAATTCCTCTCGTCTAGAGAGGGAAGGAAAAATCATTGAATCCTGGAAAAAAAAAGTCAAGAAAAAAGTCAGAAAAAAAGGCACGGAAAAAACTTAACCTTACCTAACCTACGTGCAATGACATCATATATATATATATATATATATATATATATATATATATATATATATATATATATATATATATATATATATATATATATATATATATATATATATATATATATACTGTGTATATATATGAATTAAATCAGAGCAAAAGAGGGAGGGAACTAATGTGAGAAAGGAATGAAGGCGGTAGGACGTGGACACCTGGTATCCAACAACAGCCATCCGGCTGCCTTGCTTGTTACACTACTCTAAAGTCACATTACAGTATCCGTATCCAAAAAGACTCCAATAACTTCAAAATAAATATACCATTACTGTCTATGATAACCTGATCTTCTCGTATATAAAGACAAAATGGAATGAATTAATATGTAATTCTAATGTGAAAATTACAGTTGTACCATCCACAGTTTACTTTGTTAGGCAGTGTTATGGCTAATGCCTTATAAACTTAAACTATAACATGCAGTAATAGACGTAAATGTAATAAATTAACAAAAAAAAAAATGCCTCTTCATTTCCTTTAAAAACATGTGAGGTGTACCAAAGTGAGAGACATGTGAAGTGTACCAGAGTGAGAGACATGTGAAGTGTACCAGAGTGAGATTTGATTGATTGATACGTTTATTGAGATACAAAAAACATTAATACATCTCAAAGGGATGAAGTGACATAAGTCATCCCCACCCCAGTCCAGGAATGTCCCTCACAGGACTCACATAAATCCCTAATATTTCATATAATCAGTTATAGTACATAGTTATATTCTAGATGCAAAATTTCTATATTTCTTTAATATTTCATCTATTTTCCTACTTTTAAACATCCACTCTATTTGCTTGGGGACATTATTTATAATGGGCATTTCTATATACATTAAGCAATGAGCATTCCAGTATATAATGTGGCAGGGTATGGGATCTGGATGTTCTACAAACTCTACATTCTTTATCCTGTTCACTTCTCTCAGCTCCAAGTTCCCAATAATATTTATATCCTAATCTTAACCTCATATACACTGAATCTTTCCACCTACTCCCATCTTTCCCATATGTAAATTTTGTGTTCATGAGAACATGATGGTAATGTTTCATTGTTTCACTTTTCTTGTATATTTCATTCCTTTTGAAAATATCTTCTATTGATTGTATTTTCCATAATTTGCTCCTTAATTGTTTCAAGGTTTTAGTACATATTATGTCGATCTCGTCCTTTTCCGTGGCTCTTTTTGCTATTATATCTACTGCTTCATTAAGACCAATGCCTACATGTGAAGGGACCCATACAAATTGAACATTATGGCCATTTTTCCTTATTGTATTTACTAATTTTCTACATGAACCAATAATGTGTTCAAAGACTGGACTCCCACTGTTCAAAGAATCCAAAGTTGCCCTACTATCAACAACAAAAATATGCATCTTTATACATATTTACAACATTTTTCAATCCTACTAAGATTGCATATAACTCAGCTTGTGTTGATGATATAAAACTGCTCAACCGAAGTCCAATTTTGATGTCATCATTTCCTTGTTCTGTGTACTGTCTTATAAGGATCCCACACCCTGCCCTGCCATTTGACATAATTGAACCATCACAATATACATGCAATGTGTTTATTTTAGGCAAATTACTAATCTTATTCCCATATAAAGCCCTTAACTGTCCTGGTTCATGTAATGATTTCTTCATTGTGAGAGGCACTATGTCTAACTCTACTTCTTGTTCTTCCCAGGGTGGATTCTTACAACTCTTCTGAAAAGCTGTACACCAGTCTGCCAGATTACGTTTTTTAATAATATTTACTAATCCATTGTATCCTCTCTTGCCTTGTCTGCAGAAGGTCCTTTTATCTTTTAAACCATCATTTATATCTTGTACAAATTTACCCCCACTGTTCCCTCTCATTAATCGAACTGCTGCAACTGTATTAATTTCATTGACCCTCTGTGAAATGCTCTGTAACCCTAGTTCCATTTTCATTATCTCAATCATTGCATTCTTTTGACACCCTAAAATTATTCTCATTGCTTCATTTTGCATGATCTCAAGCTTCCGTAGCCTTCCTTCACCAGTACAAGAGAGGACAGGTGCTGCATAGTCTATAAGTGATCTGATGGTAGAAATATACATCATTCTCAGTATGGGTACCCCAGCACCTTTACCACAACATGCTAGAGCCTTCAAGGGCTGTAATCTTGCTCCACATTGAGTGAGGACATGATGTATTTCTGCCTCTTTACTTTCACAAGTAAAGCCAATGTACATTCATAAATATTTATACATTGACACTTTCTCAACAATTTTTCCATTTAGAAAAACGGATTCAGTTCCTCAAGGTGGAGATAACACTGCTTATCTGAACTGTTTAAAGAAAATCAGTTATTGTTATGTTATTACTGCACTTCAACAACTAAGGTCTTTAAGTGTATAACAAGGTTATTAAAAGAATTTTAAAAAATATGAAACAGAACTCTCTGGGTTGAAAATCAGACTTAAGTCTGGTTGTCAACGACTGTTTTCACCGGGATGATAGTTATTTACTGTAAAGTGTTATATGTAAGCAACCACAGAATTTGTCTTATGAATAAAGAGGAAACTGTATACTGTACAGTACTATAAAGATAAAAAAGAGCAAATAAGTGTAGGAGCATATTGTATGTGGAAGACGAGTGTATATCTGGGAGCAGCTGGTGGGGGGGTTAGGACCACCGATTTATCGAGGTTTTACTTTAAACAAGAAATACAAAGGTATAGGACTAGTGATATTTCCTTTAGCCAGAACAATTGGTGCAGAGCACTTCCTGGAAAAAAAGATTTCCGGGTAACAAGGCGACTCTCGGAATTTTCCAGAATGACACATTTTTCAACTCTCCAACTGGAAAAAATCCCCCAACCCCAGAATTTTTTGAGTATCAGGAAAAGTTTCTTGGAATTTCCAGAAAAATGCGCCTGATTTTCAACCTCAGAAAACCATCCCCAAACTGGGAATTTTCCAGACAAATTCCAAGCAAATTTCAATTTCGGCTATTGGAGTTCCGACTAAAAGGTATTCCGGCAAACGAAAATACAGGTACGGTCAGGGCCGGCGCTACCCACTAGGCGAACTAGGCGATCGCCTAGGGCGCCAACATCTGGGGGCGCCACAAATTCAGGGCAAACTTGGATAAAATTAAAAATGAAGGGAAAACTGTGGTGGACACTGTGGTGGAGCCGTGGAGGGTCGGAGCAGGATGTTAGAAGGGTGGGGGGTCGGAGGGAGGCGAGGGTAGGTAGACGGTAGCCGACTGTGTTTTCTTTTTTAATATTATTCGTTAACCCCCCGGAGGGACTAACCCGGGTCCTTATCTTTGGCGGCCTGGAGAACTGTCGAGCAGTGACCTGAAGGCTGACATCTGAGGAACCCTTCTCCCAACCCCACCATCCCCTCCCCTCCCTTACTGCCACTTACTGCCAGGGCGGCTGAGCCGCCCCTTCCCTGTCTTTGTCGGGATGAGGCAAGGTTACCTGACCTCTGAAGTTTACGTCAAGGATTTATTGACTTAATGTAATAACAATAATTGGTTATTTGCATGGGTGAAGTAATAAAGCCACAAGATGAAAACAATGTAGTAATGGGTTACTGTACCTACATTAGCTTATCAAAACTTTCAAGGGGGCGCACATCTAAAGGCTTGCCTAGGGCGCCAAATCATCTTGCACCGGCCCTGGGTACGGTATTACTTTTTGCAAGTACAGAGTACAGGTTGTATTTCTAATTTGCTTCCAAAGTACTGTATTTGTTGCTAACTTTAACCTTTTTTTATTCTCTGATAAAATTTTATTAGAAATTCTGAAAAAAGAATAACATCTTACAATGAGTTTTGCTTGGTGACCTGGCCACTTCTGTTAACAACTCTAACTACCAACACTGTTAGTTGACACTGATGAAAAAATTACATTTTCTGAGGTCATCCAGTTGTTGCAGCAGTAAAATGCAGCACATATATCTCAACTGTCATTGATACTGTATAGACTAGTTCTGTAATTCATCATCTAAACATTTGCTTTGAAAGCCATCACAATAATCATTGGAATGACATATGATAGAAAATAACCTTATTCCTTTGGCAATGACACCTAGAAATAAAAAACTTTTTCTGTTTAAGGTTCTGACAAGCTTGTTACCAGTAATAAAAGTTTACAGGGTAATCCTATCTTTAAAATAGAAATGTGATCCTACAGCCTATAATACAGTAATACTTTCCTTGCCTGCCTGGTTAATACAGTGAGTTTTAAAGTAAAAATTCTAACATGGAGCCTAGGGTCAGGAGAGCCTTAAAATCAGTAACCTGAGGTAACTGACATACCCTACCCAGACCTCACATCCCACACTTGCTTATCTGACCTTAGAAAAATGAATGTGTTTATCCCTTGACACAATCTTGATCCAGGGAGGGCAACTGCCCCTGCCCCCTAAGAGAACCTCATGCATACAACATATCTGATGAGCACTTCATTTACAATTTAAGGTCATTTCTGTAGTTATGCAAAATACCTTGATTTAAGGGAATGAATCCCTAGTCCAGACTTTTCACTTATGTGTACTACCCTCAGAGATTTTGATCTACAGTCTCTTAAATTATATAATTAACATTAATAAACAGACATATCTTTTAGTTCTGCAAAGGACAGTTAACAATACTGTATTGCTATGTTAAGTATTTATTTACTAAAATTTATCAAAAAACATCAGTCTGACCTACACATTGCTATAAAAGTTCTGAATACTGCTGTTGCCTCTGCTTCACATAACGTAACAAGCTTATCATCGCTGCTGGTGTTATGCCTTCAATCCTAGTTACTGCTGCAATCTGGAAAATAACATGCAAGATATAAAGAATTTCAAATATTTGTCAAATGAACTCGTCAGGTCTCAGAGTATGTGAGGGTCTCCTCTTTAAATATACTGTACGTATAACTCCTTTTTTATACAGGGTGGTCCAATTAAAGTGAACCATGTTGAAAATTAAATAAAAATTCATGAAATTGGCAAAATCTATATTTTAGCAGTTTGCAAGTTTCTGAAAACCTTTGGAAACAATAGTTATTAAAGTTTGAAAGTTATGTCATCCAAATGTGCACTCCTCTTCACAATAAACTGCTGCAGTCGTTGGCGAAAGTTGTGCATGACTCTACGAAGCACATCTGGAGAGATGGCAACAAAACTCCTGGCGAATTCTGGCCTTCAGGTCATCAATATCGTGGAATCGATGAGACTACACTTTCTCTTTCAGAACCCAAGGCCAAGCACCACCAATTGCCACCCCGCTTCCTCCTCCCACTTAAACCCCTACCAAGTGTTGCCAACCTGAAACTGGTTCACTTTAACTGGATCACCCTGTACTAAGATAACTTCAGAGTTCAATATGCCACTCATTAGTTAAATCTAATAGCTTGACTTTTTCTTCCAAAGTTTACACAGTACAGTATGCGCTTTTTTCTTTTTTCCCCTCTAACAACCACGAGCACTACCACTAATTTTCCTCTTATGGGCCTCTGTCATTTCCTGGAAACTTCTAATACATCAACAGATTTATTCCAACTGGTATCAAACTTCCTTGAGGAAAATCGACTTTCGTGGGACTCGCTGGTTGGGGTTTGTACAGACGGAGCTCCAGCCATGGTTGGTTCGCGGTCGGGTTTCATTAAGAAGGTAAGTGAATATATCAATAAGTCATTTGCTTTGTTTTTCAATTGCAGATATTAATATACAATACCTAAGTCTCCCCTGTGGCACCTCATAGACTGTCCATGCAAGCTGAGAACAGCTGTATTTTGAGTATGATATGTTTTATAAATGGGTTTAGTTAAATTAAGATATGAAACTGGAAGGCATTGAATGTTTTTTCTTTGCTGTACAGTAATAATATTCATAATGACTAAAATATACGTGCTAATGTCAGTCCTCTTTGTATCTGATATCTTCAGTCACAGAACATATATCTGAATGTGTGTAAGATAAACAATAAACTATGACTGCCAAATAATAAGAACAAAGGGAAAAATCATTTGAAGAGGTGGACTAAAGGTTATTTAGCATGCAAAACAGAATGGAGGTCCTAGAAGATGTATTAATGTAAAAGAAGCAAAGACAGTAGTGTAATATAAAAGGTAGAGGAAAACGAATGAAACCCTAAATATTGATGCAATACATTAAGTCTCTCTTATGCATTGAGACACCTCAGAAAAATCATTAAGATGAATTAACATATAAAACAGAGGATAGATGTACTGTACTATATAATATATTTTCTGTTAATTATTGCTAATCAAAATTCCAAACTTCTCACCGTAGTGGGTCTTGCTTGAGAAAGTTTGCTGCGCATCTCATTTGACAAACTCATGGAGGGACTGAAACATATGAGGAAAACAGACAATTAAAAATACTGTAGTGTATAATGTAATCTGAATACACATAAACTGTATAAACAATAAATTAGTTATAATAAATATTAAATAACAACAAAAGTTAACTCCTTTATTACATCCTTCACATAGCTACTCCTGACATGAACCTATCATATGTTACCAGACCCACCTATAGTAGTCAATATTGTGTGGAATTACAAGTGCATAATCCCTGCGTACAGCATCCACATCCTCACTCTGGGCAGCTACCAGGTCAGCATAAAGGGCTTCAACTTTTAGCCTTTCTGTCAGCACTGGATTGTAAGTGAATTTTTCATATCTTGAGTCAACCTTTGCTAGTTGTTCAACTGTTACATTCCAGGAATACATACCAAGAAACTGTAGGGCACTGAAAGATTTGTATTAAATAGTTATTTGTAATTTTTTTAGATGATTAAACATGTAGGAAAGTTTAAATCTAAACCTTTTTACTAGAGTAATATTACAATAAAAAAAAAGCCAAGAAAACTATACTCTACAGAGGGGTCAATTCTTCACATCAAACTGTGACTTTGACTTTTGACTTAATGTATCATTAAAGTTAATTTTGGTATAAAATTGGAAAGCTGTGGGAACATTATAGCCTAAGTTGCTGAAGACATTTCTAAAATTCCACCAATTTTTTTTACAATTCATGTCCCAATATTTACAATCCATGGGCTCTGTTGAATCTAACCTATATTAGATGAAATTGAGAACAAATAAAAACCTACCTCTTATATGTTGTTGCTCTAGTTTGTGGTCTATCTAGAAGTTTTGCCCAGGTCTTGAAGCTACGAACATCTCCCCGAAGCAGTTGCAATCCCTCCTCGAGCTGACTTTTTGTTTGTATCAATTGATTATGTCGCTCTTCAGATACACAGCCAATGGAATAACCTAAAATATATAGATTTTAAATTATTTCCAAAAAACTCTTCATAAATTAATTGTTTGTAAATCGAAGCACATTTTCCTATTGACTCCCATTATAAAACTTGAGATATGTTCCTACAAAAAAAGAACACCTTAAAATGCTACAAAACATGTTTTAAATGGCAAGATTTGGTGTACACAATGATTGTAAGCCAATCTTAAACATAAGTGAAATGCAGGCAGTACAGGATATCTGACACTCGTTCACCCTCCCTCAAGCATTGCTGGCATTCTCCACACCTCCAAATATTTTTCCACTTTCAAATTCCACACTCTTACAACTCTAAACCTATATTGTTTGACAATCAGACAACTGGCTGGCTGAGTGACTGTGTGTGTGTGTGTGTGTGTGTGTGTGTGTGTGTGTGTGTGTGTGTGTGTGTGTGTGTGTGTGTGTGTGTGTGTGTGTGTGTGTGTGTGGTGAATGTGAGTCTGTGAGTCTACTTGTCTTCAGTGAGTTTGAAAAGTAAGTTATATGGTGATTGTAGAAGAATAATGACATTGAATGCTTATTTGTACACTCAATAACATTGTGATTGTTAGAGAATAATGAAATAAATTAGTGAAATAAGCAATCATACTTGTAGTAAAAAAATCCATTATCAAAACATATTTTCTTTCCCATACTACAGGTACTTAAGAAAAAATAATGAAAAAAATCATAACTTTGGGGTTTTACTTCATAACTCAAAGTAAAGGAGAAATTTTTCCTGTAATTTCAAATTTTCATATATCAAAGCTTCATAAATTGGGGTCTCCCTATGAGATGAACTGTACTGTACTGTACATACAAAGTGACAGAGAATATCTAGTGCAAGTTTTGAGCTCACTACTAGTGTAAAGCAGTAACTAACAAAATATTTTATGAAGATACAAACCCTTTTCAGTAAGTCGAAGATCGGCATTGTCAGGCCTCAGCTGGAATCTAAATTCTGAGCGAGAAGTAAACATTCGGTAAGGCTCAGAGGTGCCCTGGGTGGTGAGGTCATCAATTAAGACACCAATGTAGCCCTCTGTCCGGTCCACAGTGAGACCTTCTTTATTAAATGCCTGATAAAAGTCAACACGTGTTCAAATTAGTTATGCACCAAGAGTATACAGTAAATTAAAACAGTACAGTGAACCCTCACTTTACACGGTTAATTCAACCCACAAGGGTACCACGGAAAGTGAGAAACGCATAAAGTGAACAACATAACATATGGGATTAATTGAAATAGAGACCGGGCCGATCCCCAAACTCCACTTTTTCAGACACAATACCTACGTTGTAGTAAAAATAACTTCTTAATTTTATGATGGTATGCACACACAATTAATAATTAAGAGAAATATCAATAATATCAGGTTTTTTAACACTTACATTAGTAGAAAAGATGGCTGGGCACACGGAGATGGGGGGGTTGGTTCCGAGGCAGAGGGCAGATTATTGGCCCTCACCTGTATCAATTGTATCACTATCCACCACAGAGGCTTGCAGGGCCTCTTTGTCAAACCCCTCAAAGTCCATATAAGTCCATATCCTCACTATAATTATCACTATCACTGACTTGGGCCGGCTGTGGTGGCTGGCGGGTGAAGAACTCGGTAATGCTTTGATGACTGGGCGACCTTGTGCGCACCCTGCTACCGCCGCTTACACAACATGGCGGATGGCGGGAGAGATGGCGGGAGGTTTGGATCCAAAAATGGCGCGGCTCGCCAGCCGCTCTCCGCGTAAAGGGGTACACGCACCGCGGAATGTGAGCATTCCGGTTTCGGCAGGGTACCGTGTAAACGTGGAAACGCGGAATGTGGGACCGCGTAAAGCGAGGGTTGACTGTATTACCTCTGTTAACTGGAATCCCTCAAACCCTGAACTTTCCAATAGCCGGTAATTTGCTTGGAATTTTTCCAGAAAATTCTCTCAATTCCTGTTTGGGAACAAATTCTGAGGTTGAAAATCAGGTGCATTTTCTGATTATTCCAAGAAAAATTAAGAAAAATACCAACACACTTTTATTTCTGGGTTTGGGAATAAATTTTCAGGACACTCCGAAAGATTGCATCATGCTCCAACCCATTCCCACATGCCAGGCACGTGGGTGGCCAAGCTGCTTGGATCGTTTGGTTCATATCCTGCTGCCATTGTAGAAGATTGTTCCCTCACTAGCTGCTGCTTTTTGTCTACAATTGTGTTGTGCAGTGCTGTACATCAGGCATGGGCAGCATGTGACCTCAACCATGCCTTTGTGCGGCCAATGGAGTGATTGAGAAATTCTATTTAATGTGGCCCACAGTTCAGGTAGATGGAGCCAGCTTATGGTGAGTAAAGCAATATTTATTAGAAGAAAAATTTTCTGGGGAAGTGGGCTAGTCCATTTGTGCAAGATGTCTAGTTTAGGAACTTGGAAACTTTTCCCAGTAACCGCAAAGATTCCAGAGATAAGGAATTTTTCCGGGTTTGAGAAAGTCGTCTGGTTACCCCGAAATCTCTCATCCCCAGAAGTGCTCTGCACCAATTGTTCCAGCTAATGGGGATATCACTGTATATGCACTCATATACAGTACCTTTCATATGAGAATTCCTATACTTTTATATTAAACACAGAATATAGAGAAAGATAACTACCCCTGTACTCTTTTTAATTTTAAAAATGCAAAATCCAGACAACAAATCACATTCAAAATTACTTTACAGGCTATTGAAAAACACATAATACTGTACATATAATGAATTTCTGTCACACCAAAGCTGTCCAAGCCAGAGAAACCACACACATTTTGCTTAATGTTAGGTTTTTCGGGAATGCATCCCTATCGTTAAATGAGGGATACCTGCTTCAAATGATGGAACTGATGTACACAGTAAGGTAAAATAGTGTACAGCCAAGCACAAGCCAACAACAATACCTTTGCAGTAGCATTTATCCCAGCCACAATGCCTTGTGCAGCAGCTTCCTCATAGCCAGTTGTTCCATTGATTTGCCCTGCTAGGAAAAGGCGAGCGACACGACAAGTCTCTAACTGTGGGGTCAGTTCACGCGGGTCCACGTAGTCATATTCTACACCATAACCTGTGTTAGAAATGACAAATTAGCACAGAAAGGTAGCGAAGATCTATGCTTATACATAATATTAAAAAATCAAATTACCATTTACTAATTGTCTTAAATCTTAAAATAAATCAGTACAGTATTATATTTCCAATAAATGTCAGTTCTCATTAAAGGAAATAAATTCACTAAAGGTTGATGCATAAAAATGTTTTAAGAGGCTAACAAGAGCTAACTAAGTACTGTATTATAACTACAGCAGTCACACTAACTGAATAAAAGAAATCATATAATTGGGGTGTTCAAAGAAAATATTTCTAACTTACTGCAAAGAATGGTCAGACTCATTTTTACAGTCTGAAAATCGAAGTTTCAGACCATCATTGGTGAACACTGATATTACCCTCTAAGGTTGGGAGTCTTTGACATTACATTAATATGTGCTTCATGATCCTTGTCTGATGTTCGTTAAAAAACAGCACAACATGGTCAGCACCTCAGTCATCTCTGCAGACAGAGCATATGCCTCAAGCTTGTGTATGTCATGAACAATGTGATGGGCAAAAACATCTCACCACCTAAAACACACCACCCCCAAATCCCCTTCCCAGATTTTCTCTGCGAAGTGCCAAAGCATTTACAGAGCCCAAGAAGGAAATATGCGGAGTTCATGCCCACCCTACACCTCTGGGAAATTTGTCCACTGTCCAGACACACTGCGTACTGTTCCAAATTAAATTTCAGTGCAATGAATGGTTCAGTTGCAAGTGGAATATGCAATGACAAACAATTAATAAACTCTTAATTTTTAAATAAATACAGTAAAAATATAATGTTTGTCTTTTCTCTTCATTTCTCTTTGAAATTATGCAAAGTCAGCATTTACAGAGAACCATAAGGCACTTTCCACAGATAGATTATCAGTAAGGATGTGATAAAACTGGTCATACCTGGAGTGATCATTTCACAGTGCTGGAGGCTTGGAATGAAGCGGAGTAAGGCCTGTTGGTGCTCTGGGGGCATTGTACAGGACAGGCCCTGAGGATACACTAGACCAGAGTCTAAACCTTCTGGTTCAAGCCACACTTGGTGGTTACGACCTGAAAATCTGAGAATGCAAATAGTTGAAGAATAACACATATTAAAGAAAAGTTTTGCTCTTCAAAACTTGAATTAACTAATGAGACTAAGTAGATGAAAATAATCTTTTTGGTTTAATGATTACTTGGACTAGTATTCTTAATTAATATGCCACGTTGAAGGGATAAGATAAATGAGCAAGATCCATATAGTCAGGCAGATTGGGGAAATATATCAAGGAATTGTAGGTTTAATGATAGAAGCATGAAATTTGGCACATGCTTAGAGAAGGGCAGGGAAAACATTTTGGGCTTTAGGGCCATCACATATCTGTCCTATGAGTGCTGTGACAACCATTTTTAATAGTGATTATTATTAAATACAGTTCCCTACATATAATGCATAGATTCGTTAATTGTTTGGACTCAGAATATAGGTAACCAGTATTATTACATTTTATTTATTTTGAAAGGTAATGAACATCTTGTATGAACTGTTGAGTCAGTTTCTTACCACGTAAAATTAAATTGTTGTGCTTTATGAATTGCAAATATTTTCAAAGGCAACAAAAATTAAATAATATTAACACTTGTTTTTAACGCCCTTCACCATAAACTTCCAACAGCATTTACCACAAACCTGTAAAAACATTAATTTTAACCAATGGAATTCAACATTAAACCGAAACAGACATCTCTCACAGGTTCGAGTCTTCAGAAGCGACCGGATTGCCTTTATCAAAAATCATCATCATCGGGTGTGACAGACCGGCCACCTGTCCATTAAATGACTTGAGCTAAACCCTGGTTCAGTCTCTTGAACCTTTTCCCACCTCACTCATACGGGAAAAGGCATAATAGTTGTAAAAAAAATCATTACTGTTGTTATTAATTTAACTACACATACAGCAAAAAATGACGAGATGACTATCAATTCGGCATAAATCAGGTAATAATCAAATATTGGGACAGCTCGGCTGCAATGTGTCATGTTAGGACGAATGAATCCCTTATATACTTGAAGCAACTGTTCAGAAGTGAAGTAGCTACAGCATCTGTACAACATTCCCAGCTTTCGAGAGGCAGCTTTAGCAATGTTGTGGATGTGTGGCTTCCATGACATATTAGAGGAAATAGTGAGGCCAAGCATATCTGTTTTAAAATTTAGCAAAATTATTCCATCCTGAAATGTGATTGGTGGGAGATTTATTTTGGAAAGTGAAATTAGTAAATACTATGATATTTTATGTTTCTGTTTGTATTTTTCCCTATGTCCCCCAAATTTATTAGGTGTTATGACTTTGAAACTATGAGGCATTCACCCCATGTTCATAGAGTCACTAAATGAGGATAATGTGTCCACACTGTGTGACAGGTGACTAAGATCTGGAAAATAGTTCATGGATTCAGCATTCCATAGCCAAAGTCAGTATATGAAGGGTTTGAAGTGTCAGTGTTTATGATTTTAGCAGCACAACTCAAGCCTTCTCCCTTTAGGGTAAATTCTTATCAAGTGATTATCCAGGAGACTTGTGTAAGTATAAAAGGCTGATCAGTGGCAAAGATGATAAAGATAGTCCCTCAGTCATGGGTTTTTTACCAATAGAATTGCTGGCTCAACAGAACTGCTAATTTCAAGATGTAAGGTTATAATTCTAGCATTTATGGTTCCAGGACTTATAAGTGTACCAACCTCCCATAGGCTGCGCTTTTATTCTTTACAATGTAAACAACTTGCTTTCATTTTATTAACAACTGAGGTACAGTCTTTCAGCATTCATACATCCATCCTCAATAAAAATATTCTCCTGTGCTTTTTCCACCTTCTCATCATTAAGTTACATCTTACACTCTGGCTTCACACTTGACAGTGCTTTCTGTAGTTCTTTGTAAACATTGGATCTGTCTAACCTTAAAACTTTTGATTCTATGGATGGACAGTAGCGAGGTCCATTAGTCTCCTCATGAACATGTCGATTTTTATGCAGAGTATCTTTGACAATTTTTTCCACCTCTGGAGTTGTGTGAGTGAGATGACAAAACAGTTGTTCCTCAGGCTGAAAGAAAAAGAATTACGTACATTAGAGTATACATTATTGTTAGTCTATCAGCTGGTGGTTAGAAGAATGAAATATAAGCTAACTAATGTTAATGTACAGTATTATGATGGGCACTTATACGAATTGTCTGACCACTGTGTAGTACTATAGAAGCAAGATAAACAGAATGGAAGGTTCAGCTTAATAGAGGTAAAATATTGAGAATACAGTGACCCCTCGTTTAACGAACGCCTCGGTTAACGAAATTTCGGTTAACGAACTGCCTTCCATAAGGATCTTCAATTCGGTTAACGAACAAAAATTCGGTTAACGAATTTCTTACGAACCGACCTCAACATGTTTTCGCTTGCACTGGCCGGGCAACCAGCTTTAGTATCAGTCCACCAATACATTAATCGGTTCTAGGGCTTAAATTCCTAACTATTTTAGTAAATATCAAGAAGTTTATACTATTCAATAATTTTAAAAGTTTAATATTAAATTTTTTAGTCATTTTAACAATTATTGAACATAATTGAAGGTAAAGTGACTAGTTTAATGCGCAGCATCCAGCCTCTTAACACAGCAAACAGGCGTTAGTCTCTCTGTTTTCACTGGAGGTAATATCTTGCTTGAGACTCTCTTCAACTAAACGCTTTTTTTCTGTGTTTCCAAGCAAATTATTGGTCATTTTGAAATATATTTTACATATTGACAATATATAATGCAGTACAGTGTTGATTTAAAGAAAATAATCTTGAAATACACCAAGAGAACTAAAATTTTATGGGTGAAATGGTGCCATGGGGTGACTTCTCTTCCACCCCAATGCCTTCTCTTCTTCCTTCTCCTCCACCCCCATTGTAATTCCCATCATCATCATCATCATCCAGGAGCCTTCTACATACACACCTCAAAGTAAGTGAAATTTTCTACCATTTTTGTTGAATTTAGGAAATTTTCGGTGAGCTGGAACCAATTACCCAAAAACCCATTGAAACAATGGTTTCGGTTAACGAACTTTTCGGTTAACGAACGACCTTCTGGAACGGATTGAGTTCTTAACCGAGGGTCACTGTAATTGATAAAAAGAAATAAGTTGATAAAAGAGAATGTGGCTGAAATTCTTGGAGACATGACTGAAACAAGATGGGCACATGTACAGTACATAGGGACAGGTTAAAGTAGAATAGCAACAGTTCAAGATCAGGCTCAGGAACAGCACCTGGTTCACCTTCAAAATAATAAACCAATGTACAGGCAGACCCAAATTTATGACAGTTTGTTTGCAAAATTAAATTTAATTTTGTTTCATGCTTTTATTTATGAGTGTAACTGAATTTATGAGAAAAAAGTATTAATGAAAATATGCTAAAATAATGTTTGTTTTTTTTATACTGCCAGTATGCTTACTTATTTCATTGACAAATTTCATTATTCTCTAACACTAATAATGTTACTGAGTTTAAAATAAGCTTTGAATGTGTTATCATTCTGACATGAAGACAAATGGCACATCACTCACACCACCACTCACAGGCACTGACCCAGTTGTTTCATTTTCTACCTTTCCCTCGTTTACTCTCATGTAATAAGTAGAAAATCAAATACCCTGGTAAAAGAAAATTATTTTGTATTCTTAAATTTTTTATGCTAGTTATTTACAATACAGGTGCAGAGTTGTAGGAGAAAATGTGGAATTTGGAAATGAAGAAATGTTTGGTGGAGTGGATATTGCCGACTATGCATGAGGGAGAGTGAGTGGAGTGCCACCTGACTGAGCTGAAACTTTGGCTGGGTAGTTGGCTGTCTAGAGGAACTGGCTGGTAGCTGGTGTATAAACATATTGCACCTCTTTGTGTGCTAATATCTATTTTACAAAGGCTTTAAGGCATAACAAATACTGTAAATATGAGAATCTGTTACATCAACAAAAATATGACTTGCCCTTTGCTAATAGTTGGGAAAAAGACAATAGTTTACTAAAAGTCTACCCATAGTGACAGTCAACATTGCATACCTATCCATGAAAAGAACTCAAGAAATATAATTATGAAAAAAATTAAGTGGGTACTGACCTTAATCCAGACTTGTTGATTTAAGAATGAGAATGGCACTGGTGGGTTGTCTGGCTCTTGTTGTGTACACTGCGTGTAGTCAATGGTGTTTTGGGCTATCCTTGGGGGTGTTCCTAAAGTATGAAAAAGTGAAAAAGAGACAGGACACTGTATCCTCCCACTGCCTACATGCACCATATACCCACATTGTGTTTATTCATGCTGAACTGTATAACTGCATAATTTATAAACATGCTTGTCCAATTGTAAACCTGTATAACAATTTACTGAATAAATATTGTTTTTACAGTATTATTGTTGTTGTTATTATTATTATTATTATTATTACTATTAATATAAGTCACTTTTCTCTGGAACACATCTCCAATGTATAATGAGGACCCCATATAAATATGGACATATTATAGAAGGGTTTTACCCCAAAAAACATATCTATTACTGCAATAAGAATAAATGATGGGAAAATCTGTTTCCTCACATCTGTCACCTGTTTTATAGCAGGAAAAGACTTGAAAAAGACTAATTAATTTATGCCCTGAATTATACGAGATATCCAAAGTTCTTTGGAGAAAATATGACACATACCTGTCTTAAGTCTTCCAAGTCTAAACTGCAACTTTTCAAAAGTGTTGGCCAGCCCAATAGCTGGTGCATCTCCAAGTCTGCCAGCAGGCCTCACATCTAATCCTATGCTGATTACTCCTCGTAAGAAGGTCCCCGTGGTGATGACAACACTGTGAGATGTAATCTCTCGCCCATCATCTAGTAACACTCCTTGGCATTCAGCTTGTTGAGGTACATCTGCTACACACACACACACACACGGGACGATTATTCAGCATTATATGGTATGTTCTTATTTCCATCACTTACCCTGTACATGAAAAATTAACCCTTTTCCACCCAAACTTTTTCTTCTCTTTCACATAACAAGTCATCTATACAAAATATAGAATATATACTTCTTATTCTTGTAAGCAAAGAAGTAAAGATATACTTTTATATAAAGCAGTCTCAGTGAAACATTTTCCAATATAATGAACCTTTCTATATAATACTATAAACATTTCATAATCTGTATAAATCTTGTGCTTTGAGGTCACTCAGCTTGTTTTATCCAACAGACCAGTTAACACTTTTCTTACTGAATATGTAAGAGAGAAGAATTCAATATAAATATGTAGATACAAGCTGACTGATAAATGAAGGACTGAAGTATAAATTCCTATTCTATTATCTACGGCTCAAGCAAATGGTCCTGCAAAAAATGGTACTCTGTATAAGAGATAAGAACCTGACAAAAGAGGCTGCAAGAGACCACACAACATGAAGAGCAGCCATTAGGTGAATGTGGCTAACCCATGCAAGCATGAAAAATGCCCATAAAATATTGATAATGATGATGATGTGTGCATTATTTTGGTTAGGATGTCCACAACTGAGGCTAAATTATGAAACATAGTTACCTTTGCAGCACATTTATGGCCGTTACATTTCTGAGAGAACAATGGAGGGATCCTACACAGGCCACTGGACTCATTCCCTCAGCATGACCACCTCTAATGGGTGGCCATTAAGTAAATATAGATGTTGCCTTTAAAGCAAAATGAATGTTGATCCTTAATGATTTTCTCTTGATATAATTTACTCTAAGCTTCATCCTGTCCACTGAAATATACAGTAAACCCCTCCTGTATCATGGCCATGGGTATCATGGTGTTTATTTTGCATTAAACTAATGAGGGAATATATTTCTATACTGTGGTACTGTAAGTGGCAAACTGGTTAAATCCTCACCAAGTTAAGAACTTTTAGCTGTAGCTACCAGTGAGTGTTTTGGCTTTGAATCCCTAATCATAGCTCCCCATCTTGATTTTCAATTACCGTACATACATTACAGCACACTCGAGTATCGGGAATCTGAAATGCTTGGGACCGAAAGGCTTTCAGAAAGTACTGTAGATCCAGTGGAGTTTCGATAATTCGTGGGTTAGGTACCAGAAGGCATCATGAATTATTAAATTGGGAATTATAGTTTAATTGATTTAAATGAAAATAATTAGTTTGATTCCAGAAGCCAAAAAATACCTATAAACAGTTCCAAAACTGCTTTAATACAGTAAACAATAAACATTGTACATAATACAGTACAATAAAAAAATACATTAACACAGATATGCATTAAAAGTAGTTCTATATTTCATAAACAGTAAAGTAAAATAAAGTATAAACAAATTCTTAACCAACCACCAAACTCACTAGAAGCACATGGTTCCCTTAAAATCAGATCTTCCACTGCTGCCTCTATTATAGTCAGGTTAGGTAACTGAAACAACTCTTCCTGGAGATTTTTTTTGTACAGTGCTCTGTCTATCTGTGCTCGAGGACCCCATACAGCTGGACCCTTGCTACGGTTCAGCACCTGGAAATCAATCAAACATACAGGGTAAGAGAGTACCGAAACAATCTTTATCATTCATTGCAAAAACAAGTTATGACTAAAATCCACTTTTGTGTTTCAAGAGGCCAATTCACATAGTTAACCATAAAGCAAACCTCAGTTAAATGGACTGAATCACCCTGCAAGTGAATGCTGCAGAGTCAAGAGTAGGGAATATGGGGAGATTGAGTTAAATAATCCAAGATGTGCATAATTATCTCATCAGAGAACCACAACTATTGAGCAATTATAATACAATATACCATACTGGATTTCCTTTCTCCTTCATCACATCATGAACTCCCTTACCATGAAAGGAAGTTGGGAGAGTCCAAGCCAGGAAGTTAATATTGCTTTGTGGAAAGATACATAATCCATAGGAACAAACAGGGATAGATTCTGGTAAGTTACATATAAGGAGGGAGAAATGGTGGTAAATGCATCAGTGCAGAACCAGAAGAATGGACAAAGGGAAACAGCACGTCATCCCCCAGCTCCATGACTTCCCACCCAAGAGGTGTGCATCTTATAATTAATCATATATTTGACCAATCCCCTTACATTAAAGGTCCCCAGTGACTGGAAAATGGTTCAGTATATGTAAGTCCTATATTCAAACAGGGTGATCGCCACTACACAAACAATTATAGGCCAATGAGTTTGACCAGCATAGTGTGTAGTAATGCAAGTTATTCTGTATTCCATACGTTACCTTGTAATGTATGCCAGAAATATCACAGACCCGACCACAAAGTCCATCCAGAGCATCCACTTCTCTCATCAGGTGTCCTTTTCCAATACCACCGAAAGAGGGATTGCATGACATCTCACCTATTAAAGAAGAAATCTTTTACTTTGTGACTCTAAACTTATGACACACATGTAATATATAGTGAATTATTATCAAGCATAAGAGATACAGTTACCAGCACCTCATATTGAGGACTAGGAGTCTGGAAACACTCTTAACAAATATTACGTCCGGATCTTCGAGGGTTCACGGTATGTAAGTTGGAAAGTAATTGGACAGATACAGTACAGTACAGTACATCATTGAATTTTCTTGAAACTCTCAACTACAGTATTTTCTCATAAAGCACTAAAATATAACCTATGGTGGACTTCTTATGTGTGACAAGCAATGTTGTGGCACCCATCCTAGCAGCAGCAGCGCAGGCCTCTGTACCAGCATGGCCACCGCCCACCACCACCACATCGAATGCTCCCCCTGGGGTACACCTACTGTACTGACACACATGCTTTGCTCTTCCTGCTGCTCGACACCACCGAAGCATAACTTGCATTCTGAAAATTGTAATAATAAATGAGCTACTGTGCATGATTCAGTAATATTTCAATGTGATTCTGATCTTTTAAATGTTAGTTTTTGCATAATGTAGTATTACTGATCCATAATTTATCTTAGTATGCCTTATTGTGGGTAAAAATAAGTATATATTAAGTGCATCCTCCAAATGTGTGAATTTGCTAACAGAGTTTAACAGTTAATTTATGTATAATACTTCTGATAAACTTCCTACATGCTTGCAGTATGTTTGAAATATTGAATGCATGTATCTTAATATAAATTAGCTAAATATCTTTCTCATCAGAAACGGTCATCCCAAAGATTATGAATATACTCATTTAGAAACACATCATTACTTCAGGACGAAATCGGACAGGTGTGCAACAGCCAATCAGCTGTAACTCTTGAGGTGGGGGCGGGGCATCTCTTCACAGCTGATAAAAAACACACTATAGTCAGAGGGACACTATGACTTGGCAGAGGGACACTTTGAGTAGACAGGAGGACACTATGACTTGGCAGAGGGACACTTTGAGTAGACAGGAGGACACTATGACTTGGCAGAGGGACACTGAGTAGAGGGACAGGCAGGTGACAGATCAGGCAGGACAGATCAACCAGGCAGGACACATCAATGGCAGGGGACACACTGACACATCGACTAGGCAGGGGACACATCGGGGGGGACACATCGACTAGATAGGGGGACACATCAGGCAGGAGGACAGATCAACTAGATAGGACAGGCAGGGGGACACATCACACATCAACTAGGCAGGAGGACAGATCAACTAGGCAGGGTAACACATCAACTAGGCAGGGGAACACATCAACTAGGCAGGGTAACACATCAACTAGGCAGGGTAACACATCAACTAGGCAGGGTAACACATCAACTAGGCAGGGTAACACATCAACTAGGCAGGGGAACACATCAACTAGGCATGGGAACACATCAGGACACTCGGGCTGGAGATACAATGACTATGATTCAGTCAAGAACAATGCAGAAATAAATATATCCGGATAGTAGTTACAGTATTATCCAAGTAATCGAACAGTTACTTTCATAATTACCTCAGCTCGCTTAATGTATGTAATATGTATCTAATAATTTTGATAATAAAACATTCCGTCTGGTGATGATCCTTTTAACCCGGTGTAAACAAACAGACTTTAAGAGAGAATTAGTATAAAACCATAACTATCATGTATAAAATATGTATATTAAATGGTAATAGATTCATATATGTCTATTGTTCTGGAAAATGACACATAAAGATGATAGTTTAGGTTACGAGGTCTAAATATGTACACCTCACCACCATCAATTATCATATAAAAGGCTTTTCTTTCGAGTAATAATCACTAAACAATAATATAATGATATAATGGTTTATTTTTAATACATGAATAATCAAAGTATTGTAGATAGAGAAAGAGGTTTAAGGGAGGGGCGGTGAAGGAAGGATACAGACACAGTGAACCAGTCGAGGATTCGGACGAGGAAGGATTGTTGTGTCAGCTGAAAGGCTTGACCACTCTATACCTTAACAATTTTGCTCCTACTAAACGAGAAGATGGATGAGAATGCACAGAGTGAGGAGGTTAGTAAATTGCAAGTCTTTGATGATACTGAAATGTTTAATATTATTAGAATAGACAATGTTGGCTGGAGAGGTGATGGTGGCAAGTTGACACTATCATTGTATGTGTTATATGGCACATTTATTTTACCTGCAATCTTGAAAATATTTAGTACTTGTCAGCGGATTTGGCTAAACTGGAGGACTTCGCAGCTGAAGTGTTATTTGTTTTGATGTCTATATTCTTATGTAGTGGATATTTTGCCTTGACTGACTTAGTTACCACTAACGCTATTTTACCGTGAGTGCACTCTGATTGGCTAAGTACTTTCTGTTTAATACAATGGGGGGTCCACCCTCCGGCTAGGAAGTTAGGTAAGGTTAGGTAGGTTTCTTTGGTTGGATAGGTCAGGTTCTATTAGGTTCTAGTAAAAATCGCCTCTTATATAATGATAAGAACATCTGTGGAAAAAATGAACACAATCGAACAATTCCTGGTTAAGTATGTTTATAGCCACTCAACGATTGACTCACGGCGAAATAAATACCAAATGCCGCTAGTCATGGTCACATATTCTCACGTTCACCGGTAATGGACGATTAGCCAATCAAAGCACACTCATGGTAAAATAGCATTAGTAGGAACTTAGCCGGTCATGGCAAAATGTCCACTGCCATATTCTTATTACATTTTTATCAGTGAGTTCTCATATAAAATAATTTTTATGGAAACTGCTTCATATGGTACCAAAGTTAATTAGGTGACGAGGTGTGCACTACTTTGTCTTTCTTTGCGGTGATGCAGTGATTATTTGTGTGAGGATTTTCTCACAAGCAGATATATAAAGCAAACATAATAATTCTTAAACAAGCAATGTAAAGCATAATTTGAGACTGTATTTACCTGTGTTGAGGATGGTAGAGACAGTCTAGGGTGGCAAATATATCTCAAAAGAAGTACAGTAATACTATAGTGTATAGAATATTAAAAAAAAAAAGGATATTTAGTAAAATTAATTAAGTATAACTACAGAATGCCCTTAAATAATACTATAGTTACTTAACATTGAGAAGTTTGGCATAACTGGTTTAGAGTACAGTACAGTACTTGTATAATGTGAATGCCTAGGCCTGTATTATGACAAGGAGGAGTAAAACATAAAATTTAATCTGTCTGAAATAATTTTTATTTTTGCAGCACCAGTTTGTGGTGGATGAGGTGAGCACTATCATCAAAGAAAGTATAGAGACTGTGATTGGTGGTAATGCCTACACAAGTGCCAAGGTTAACAATTGGACGTCACAAGTGGTAGAAAATGTACTAGGAAATCTGTCCAAACTCAACAAGTCTTTTAAATACATAGGTAAGTCTTGGATATAAACACTCATGAAAGAATATTTCTTTTTCTTTTTTCTAGACTTTTAGATTTATAACTTTCACCACTTGTTGGCTTACTATCCAGTTGGATGGTTGTTTTTTATGACCTTTGTTGTCCAGTGTTAGAACAAGGAGAAAACCTGCTATGTTTGGAAGGGTCTTACTAGATAACTCCCTTCTCGCATCCAACTGGGGGATCAAACCCAGTGTCATGCAAAATGTTGTGTGGTGCTAATATTGTGATATGCTCATTGTATGGTGCTAATACATTTATTGTGCGGTAGTGTACTAATATTGTGTGATGCTAATATTGTGTTGTGCTCATTGTGTTGCTAATATTGTGTGATGCTAATATTGTGTGGTTCTTATAGTGTGTTGCTCATATTATGTGGTGCTCTTTGTGTGTTGCTAATATTGTATGGTGTTCATTGTGTGTTGCTAATATTGTGTGTGCTCATTGTGTTAATAACAAAGCACAGAGTTGACTTGAGGGTAGACTCACATTTTTAATACATTTTGTTGTCTTGTTTCTGATTATTTGTGAGAGGCTTTTCCCATTATTATTTTTTTTTTTTTTATGTGTTTTGTGTGTGTGTCTACACACACACACATACACAATACAGGTAAAAGAAATTACTGTCTCTAGAATGAATGGGTTCTATCCCAACTGCAAAATTGCCAGCAACTTAAAACTACCCTTAGACAGTCTTGGGCACATCCAGGGTGTCATCCGCGAATATTCCAAGTCTGCGAATTAAAAATTCGGGAACTGTCAATGCTGTATTCATAAGACAAATTCTGTGGTTACTTACATAATAACACTTTACAGTAAGTAACCATCATCCCGGTGAAAACAGTTGTTGACAACCAGACTTATTGGTCTGATTTTCAACCCAGAGAGTTCTGTTTCATATATATATTTGTTTTTTATTGTTGATGTAATATTCTTTTAATAACCTTGTTATACACTTAAAGACCATAGCACAGTTGGCTCACAACTGAATGATCTCAGGGTTCAATCTCTGGGCAGGGCAAGAAACTAGGCAGGTCTCTTTACATCCGTTGCCTCTGTTCACCCAGCAGTGAGTAGGAACTTGGTTGTAAGACAATTGTTGTGGCTTGCAACCTGGGTAATAGTGTAATGCAATAACATCTGAGGAACACCTCTCAAAGAAGCAGGACTTCTGTGTCCTACCTGTGCATATGCCCAATGTTGGTCTAAACTTAAGAATCCATTGAGTTGTTGAAGTGCAGTAATAACATAACATCAGCTGATTTAGTTCATATTAGCAGTGTTATCCCCCCCCCTCTCATATATTCGTTTTTTTCGGACGTTCTCATTTTTTGGACATATGTTCATTTCCCGCACATACAAACCTATGTTCTCCATTTTTCTTATTTTATATTTTATATTATACTTTCTTTATTTCTGGACCACATTTTTTCTTGTTATGATGTGCACTTGGAGCACAGAATCCCAATTTTTTCAACTTCCCTCTCAAATTTTTCCCAGTGAGTTGAACATAGCTGAACCAAAGAGTTTACCGTCATTAAACAAGAAAGGGTGTTAAAAATTTTACAGTATTGCTAAACCGAAATCTCATTTAGTGAATGTTCGTTAAACAAGGGATAAGTGTATAGCAGTGGGTTTTCAGGAACGTGGTTGAGAAATTCAGTCAGTACAAAAAAGCAATCCCAAGTGGCATCAAACCTGTCATTTACAGGAATACTCAAGTTACCAGTATCACAAAGGATGCTTTCCTAAAATCATTGTGAATAACGAATTTGCAAATATTGTGGCAATTTTCCCCATAATAATCAATGTAATTAGGGGGATGCATTCTTAGCCGACAACTTTCACCAGTAAATGTGAACAAATAAAAATAATAATACAGTACAGTAATATTGTAAATAAAATTCAATAAAAATACCACATTGCCAGTTGGCAATACAGGTAGTTTCACTACATGCGGAAGACTGGAACAACTGAGATTCCCAATGCTGTTCCATTCTTCTCCTCCCATGATCCGCTCGTCAACTCTTGTACACGTAAGAAATGTTTATTCCCTTTATGTTTCTGATCTTATGATAATAATTTTTTCTTCGCATTCCTTAAGAATGATTGTTTGAGCATGTAACAGTAAAAAAAAAATGCAGAAAATTACATATACAGTACAGTATCTACCTGAAATTGCGAGTTGAAAAATAGCAATGATACAGCTCACAGCTTGGCCTGGTTAGGGAAGGCTAAGTTCCCTGACTGGATTTAGTTTCGCAACATATCATTACAGAATTCCCTCGTTCACTGAAAGTTTTAAAATTTAAAAAAAATATTGCTTCAGATCAAAGTCTTGCTTATTGTTCTCTTTAAATTGTTTGGAAGTATGTGCTAGAATTTAATACTGTATTACAAATACATAAGGAAAAGTGAAAGTGGGTCCCATACACATGACTGCCCATTAGGGACAGTGTGGATACAGCATACTGTACAAAAGGAGGCGGCATGGCCGGTACTGCACATGACCACATTCACTTCCCCAAGTTGTAAACTTAGGTACCCATTTACAGTTGGGTGAACTGGGAGGGCCCAGGGATTGAACCACCAACCTCTGGAACAGGAGGCAAGCACTCTATCCATTCAACTGCCCCACTCCTGCAGATATGTGTACAGTACAGGGTTCTATACTGTATGTATTATCTGAAAATAGGTTATAAATTTAATTTATTAATGAGAGATGATCTAACTTTTATTAATTATTATTTTTTCTCTCTCTCAGTAACATGTGTAATAATGCAGAAGAATGGAGCAGGCCTTCACACAGCTAGCTCTTGCTACTGGGACAACACAACTGACGGTTCTTGTACAGTTCGCTGGGAAAATAAAACAATGTATTGCATTGTTTCAGTGTTTGGATTAGCAATTTAATATGACGCATTTGTGACTTGAATATTTGTCCATTTAATCCTAAGGACTGAATTTTACCTATTTTGTGGGCTCGGAAGTGTTAGCCACAAGGTGACTGGCTTATGAAAAGCTTCATGGCAAATGTTATGAGTGTAGTGTATTTATGCTTATGCTTTGAACTGAATTTTTTCCAGGTCATTAGTCAAAGCTGTACCAACAGTTATTGATAATATTATAGAAGTCTAAATTGTAACTTGCTTTAACTGTTCATATTGTGGACTGTATGTGGTACGCCAGATACCATACTTCCACAGACTAAAGTAAATCGTGCTAATAAATTCTTGCATCCGGACAGTGCCTGCCATCATGTTAGTTAAATTATGGCAGTTTGTGTTTATAGATAGATATAGTTTATAGAAAAATATTAAATTTGACAATGAAAAGTTTTCAAGGTTCACTTAGTTTCTTTCACAAAAAATATCAAGGGATTATCTATAATCAGCATAGTCATTTGGAGATTTAATAGAGATGGGGAAACTATAGATTATGTACTAATTTTTTTATTTTTAAGAAAGATTTTTTTTTTAGGAAAAGAAGTGCTATTACTCAACCTTCTGCATGTGTCTTATTGTTGTGGATGATACTAGAGGTCTGTCAAGCTGTCATTAGAATCTATTTATTTATAACAGTGTAACTTGCTGGATTAACTCTTTATCATTGTTAGAAATTAAGTACGTACTGTACTGTGCCACAGGAGTTGCTCATTACTAAAGTTATGTATCTTCTAAACAGTACTGTACTGAACTTTGTAAAGCTTTAAATTACCAAGCAGGTTTTATATCAATAAAATGTAACACAACAACTCATCTTAGGTTTATTTTTACTTAGTAATTTACGAGAGTATTTTCTTCTTCATAAATACAGTGACCCCTCCGTTAACGAACTCAATCCGTTCCAGAAGGTCGTTCGTTAACCGAAAAGTTCGTTAACCGAAACCATTGTTTCAATGGGTTTTTGGGTAATTGGTTCCAGCTCACCGAAAATTTCCTAAATTCAACAAAAATGGTAGAAAAGTTCACTTACTTTGAGGTGTGTATGTAGAAGGCTCCTGGATGATGATGATGGGATTTAGAATGGGGGTGGAGGAGAAGGAAGAAGAGAAGGCATTGGGGTGGAAGAGAAGTCACCCCATGGCGCCATTTCACCCATAAAATTTTAGCTCTCTTGGTGTAATTCAAGATTATTTTCTTTAAATCAACACTGCACTGCATTATATATTGTCAATATGTAAAATATATTTCAAAATGACCAATAATTTGCTTGGAAACACAGAAAAAAGCGTTTAGTTGAAGAGAGTCTCAAGCAAGATGTTACCTCCAGTGAAAACAGAGAGACTAACTCCTGTTTGCTGTGTTAAGAGGCTGGATGCCGCGCACTAAACTAGTCACTTTACCTTCAATTATGTTCAATAATTGTTAAAATGACTAAAAAATTGAATATTAAACTTTTAAAATTATTGAATATTATAAACTTCTTGATATTTACTAAAATAGTAAGGAATTTAAGCCCTAGAACCGATTAATGTATTGGCTGACTGATACTAAAGCTGGTTGCCCGGTCAGTGCAAGTGAAAACATGTTGAAGTCGGTTAGTAAGAACTTCGTTAACCAAATTTTTTTTCGTTAACCGAATTGAAGATCCTTATGGAAGGCAGTTCGTTAATCGAAATTACGTTAACCGAGGTGTTCGTTAAACGAGGGGTCACTGTACTATACTATACATACTGTAATAATTTTGATCTTTCCTGTCACAATTTGATCATATTCGGTTAACTAAGGTTCATTTCACCAGGGACTTCTGGATAGTTAATATATGGCATCATGTTAAAAGAAAGGATTCTTAGGAAAAACCTTATAGTATGTGCTACAGTTTACAATATGGTTGCTGTGTAAGTTGGGAGATATGTTCCTCTAAAAAATTGTCTCCAACAGAAATAAAATGACACTTTGCAGCACCTATTCAATATTTGCATGTATTAAAGATGAAAATACACTACTATGCATAGATTACAATTTCATGAAAAACTAAACTGTAACTGTGTTGAGCTGTATAATATGCTCATTCTGATCTCCATTCCACTTACTCAGCATTCTTTCTAGTTGTATCTTGAGTTGTCATACACATCTTCCTTACCTTCTTCTTTTTTTTTATTTTATAATTGACAGTTAACTGAGATACCTGTAGCCTTAAATGTTTACTAATGGTCATCATCTTTTTTTGCCAACCTCTATCCATCTTATTACCTCCAACTTATGTCTAAAGTGATGGCTTTGGGGGTTCTCTTACCATTAGGGCTATGGCTGCTGCTCAAATCACTTGCTGGTTGCTTTATTGCCATTTTTTATTAGGGTAAATTGGTTGGAAAATGCAAGAAATATATAGAGAGTTCTGTCAAAGTATGAAGCTGGATTCCAAAGATTCCATTGGCTTCTAAACTATTTTATTATGACATACTGTTATCAGTCAAACTGCTTGGAACAAAATTATGCATCATTCAATTTCTTTAATGTTAAAAAAAAAAATGGTTCGCATAAATCAAGGTACTGTACTGTACATCAATAGTTGTAAGTAATTTCTTAACATTGGGTACTGCTACTATACTGTACATTGGTTAGTAAAGCATAAGACTACCACTCCAAAAGGTGCATGTCCAGTCCCATGATCAGGGAGGGTTGGAGGGGCATTATTTGCTGTGATGTGCACAGAGACATTTAATCTGTTGTGTTAAGTTAAAGTCCCAAACAAACCCTTGTCACCCGAGTTACCGAGTTATTTCACAATACGTACTGTGAAAGATGGTGTAAAGAATTTCTGTTGTACCGATAATGAAGTTTTTTCTGGATAAGAGAAGTACAGTACAATATATATAACAATATCTTACTTTAATAATTAGTTACAATGAAAATATTTTATGATTACAGGGAAAAACTAGTGGGGTGAAAGGGACTATTCCTTAAAATTTTGCCACATGGTCATTTTAGAGGATCCTTCACTGTGAGCTGTAGTTGTTGTCTTTAGTGATGATATACAGTACTGTCAGCAGCAATATAAATTAAATTAATATTTTATGAAATGTTCAACGTACCAGAATTAATATATGTAATCGGTCTTCTGTCACAATGAAATATAGATATATCTTGGAGATCTATATTTATCTTCATGAGTCTATATGATATCAGGTGGGATCTTTTTATGTGCACTTATATCAAGGAGCATAAAGGTTATTATTATTTTGTGATATGGTTAACTTGATTCCAAAGTCTTAAATATATAATATTGTACATTGCAATACTTTCTTTTAATATTTTTAATTGATAAAGTATACGTACAGTGGACCCTCGCCGTCCGCGGATTCTGGTTGTCCCCGGTTTTTATTCTGTATACAATTTACCAACCACGGCATTGGATTTTGAGTACACTATGCGCAGATTAGTAAGGGTGTCTTTATCCCTCAGCGGTCTAATGTATTCCTCCATAAATATGAGGAATAAATAAAAATACTGTAATACTAATGGTTAAAAGAAAAGAAAAAAATACTGCATTGCTATTTGGCAATCATTTCACTAAGGAGACGGGAGCGCTTCTCCCTCCCACGGTCCTGGACTAACTCCCATGGACGTAAGAAATGTTTATTCTCTATGTTTTTGGCTTTATGATAATCATTTCTTTTTTCTTTTCTTTTTTTTTTTTTGCACATTCAATATGAACGATTGTGTGTGTGCACGTATCGGTAAAAAAAGAATAAAATTACGTATATCTACACAAAACTACAAGTTGAAAAAAATAATAATAATAAAATAATGCAGCTCACAGCTTGGCCTGGTATGGAGAGGTTGAGATCACTACACCCCCCTCCCACTCTCCACTTCCCTTTCCATGATCTGACACTTCCGGGTAACTCCCGTGGACTTTAGAAATGTTTATTCTCTTTATGTTTTTTAACTTATGATAATCATTTTTGTAATTATTTATTTTTACATACAGTATTCTGCATAAACGATTGTGTGTGTGCACGTAACAGTAAAAATTAAATAAATAAAGTTAGGTACATATATCTACCTGAAAATACGAGTTGAAAATAACAATAACACAGCTTGGCCTGGTGGGGGAGAGCGTGGGGGATGTAGATACAGGGACAGTCTAACTTGGTGACCTGCCAAGCCCCACACACATGTTCACTTCACACATACACACCCATGCTCCTCATTTTTCTTATTTTATAGCAACATGCCATAGCCACAGAGATGTACTATAAAATTTATATTACTATTTAATTTATATTAAGCTATTTAGCTATTTTATATGTATTTGACTCGAATTTAATGAAATATACAATACTGTACAGGTATTGTTTTGTGAAAGAACAGGCAACTTAGTTAGGCTTTGACGAGTGTTATCCATGGTCATGGAACCTGACTCCCCATTTCCCGTAAACCTTTAGTTTTACCAACCACTGGGTTTTTCAGGAACCTAACCTGTGGTTGGCGAAGGACTACTGTATTACCGAGTTTATTTTTATTTCTCATTCACAGTGCTGAACGTGAAAATGCTTAGTATGAAATGGTTAGCATTTGAACTTATATTTACTCATTGATATGAATGAAAGCCATGAAGAGAGATGAGACACACTATCAATGCTTTATAGTTGAAAGTAAATTATATTTGTTATTTTCAAAAAATTGATGAACATGATTCAATACATTCATTCCACCACCTTTCATGTGGTGATATTTTGATAACTATAATTTCAGTGTGATAAATCTTAAACCCGTTGTACCATAGGCAGCTGCCGGTGAATTAAAGCAGTTGGAGTAACGATGAATAATGCCATTTATTTATATTCCTTCAGTTAGTGAACCCACAGTAGCAGCACAGGTGAACCGACATTTGCTTTAGGTTCACACATTCTGTATCTTTACTCCTATAATGGTGCCCAACTTCACCTCTAACACATTTATTTTGTAAGGCATGCAATGTTCATTATTTACAATATTTTTATTACTTCTCAAAGCACCATACTGTATATCCTCCTTTAGTTACTATTTCCCTTGACCCTATCTCAAGAGCCATATACATTAAATTTAATATTTATGGAGTGAGTTTATCTTTCCCTTAACTTCAAGACAATTTTTGGTTTCCAATAAATGAAGTAGATATATTTTTTGGTTCCCACATTGGAAGAATTCATAAAATATATTGTTTTATGTATTAGCAGTACATATTTTGTGAGAGAAAGTTTTATGTTTTATGAGCCTGCCCATGTAACTCAAATTAATTGTAGAAACATATTACATAAATGAGATAGAACAATTGAAGCAGAAATATTGCAACTGTTAATGGGCATATGGGATAAGTATTTCTTAGTCTCCCGTACAAGAATTTAAACAGAATCATTGCCGATGTCACGAGAAATAGGGATATCCTAATCTGTGTATTATATAAGCTTACATTGCTCAGATGATAGTATACACATACTCTGGAGTCCTAAAAACCATGAGACAAACAAGGTTTATGGAGCATTTATCTGTTGTGGTCTGTACAGAGCTAACCATCAACCATGTTAGTGCCCTTTAAATGCATTAACCCTTCTCTCTTCGGGACTGCCACCCACTAATTGTCGGAAATGGCATAAAGAGTGTTATTGTCAATGTATTATAGATCATATATCTAATAGTATACCAGCTGCATAGAATATTTCATGGGTAGCTTACAAGTCCTATTTCTTGCTTATTTACTGACACTGGATGCATTGTTTCTCTATACAGTATATTCTCTGCAAATATATAAGATTAGTCATCATTTATAA